TCGCCACAAAACGGGGTTTCAGACAGGGCGACTCCCTTTCATGTGACTTCTTTAATCTGTTGGAGAAGATAATAAGAGCTGCAGAACTGAACCGCTCAGGAACAATTTACTACAAGAGCGTGCAATTGCTGGCTTATGCCGATGACATCGACATCATCGGTAACAAAAACCGCGAAGTCTGTTCTGCCTTTTCCAAGTTGGATAGGGAAGCCAAGCGAATGGATCTGGTGGTAAACGAGGACAAGACGAAGTATCTCCTGTCATCAAACAAACAGTCAGCACATTCGCGCCTTGACACCCACGTCACTGTTGACAGTTACAATTTCGAGAAAGTAGAGAAATCCAACGCAGAATCACTCTTGCCAACAAATTCTACTTTGGACTGAGTAGGAAATTCAAGTAAAGTCCTCTCTCGACGTACGAAAACCACGCTCTATAAGTCACTCATCATGCCCGTGCTGGTATATGGCGCAGAAGCATGGACAATGACAACATCCGATGAGGCAGGTCTTGGAGTGTTTGAGAGAAAGATTTTTCGGAAGATTTACGGGCCTTTACGCGTTGACGACGGCGAGTACCGCAGACGAACGATGAGCTGTAAGAGCTTTACAACGACATAGACATAGTGAAGCGAATCAAAATACAGCGGCTCCGCTGGCTTGGCCATGTCGTTCGAATGGACACCGACACTCCAGCTCTGAAAGTATTCAACTCGGAGCCCCCTGGGGTAGCAGAGGAAGAGGGAGGCCCCCACTGCGATGGAAAGATCAGGTGGAGAAGGACTTGGCTTCACTTGGCGTTTAAAATTGGCGTCAGTTGGCACAGAGGAGAAACGACTGGCGTGCTTTGCTGAACTCGGCCAAAATCGCTTAGGCGGTTACAGCGCCAAAAAAGAAGAAGCTCGGCCAAACACTAACATATGTGTAAGCGCCAATCTATTATTATATTATTAAATCAACCGAAAAACGTCGGCGGAAAAAACGCTGCCGCCGCAATTATGTGCCATTCCATATGTCTTTTTGAGTTTTAATTTTGACAGCGGTAAACCGTCGACCGCTTTACCGTCGTCCGCGGAATTTCTGGCTGGAGCTTAACCAAAACAATTTACATTGACGAAACGCACTCGCTATCGAATGCCGTGACCCCGAAATTAAATTTCGATACGAGGTACGTTCGATATCGAATGCCTCGATTCGGGCGCTGAATACTTTTTTCGCCACTTTTTTATCATATTACTAAGCAGATACAACCTTGTTGCGGTACCCGTATACCAATACCTCGCTTAGCGAACAGAAGTAACTTGAAGCGAGCAGAAAATTTAAAATCGTAAATATATGTTTTAAAAATTTCGGTGCCCACATATGTTCATATGTCCACCATAAGTGGTTTATTCCAGGGACCAAAAATAACTGTTATCTCGAATAAAAACGTCCGAATTTTGAAATTTAACGAAAACGTTGTTTCATAACAGTTATAAGATGAGAAATATTTTTTATTTCGCCGATAACAGTTATAACCAAACGTTTATTTTTTACGTTGTTTATTTTAAAGCTTTAATGCGTTGTTAAAAAATTAAATGTTTTGGGGAAAGGCAAAATTTTCTCTATCACATTAAATTTTAACGTTTGAAATAGGTTTGATTGAGGCCTTAAGCAAAAACTTTAAGGTTCAGTGCTACCCAGAAGATAATTTAGGTAGGCCTTCTTAAGTAAAGCCATTCTAAGAGGCCTACCCAAGAAGGGCTGAAAAAAGTGCTTCCTTGCATGATTTCTAGAAGGGCTTATCCATTTACATTTTACGCGAATGCATAAATTTATATTATTTAGCATGACAAATGAATTTCAATAAACATTTTAAGTTGCAATAACACATGTTTGATATAAACTGCAAGCAAAAATACTTCAAAGATGTATAGAAGTCGTTTTCTATATTCTTAAATTTATTTAATATAAAATAAAATGTCGAATTACAAATCAAAGTTGTTGCACGAATGAATTAGAAAAATATATACCAGGAAATGTATGCAACAAGCAAAGGTATGTTTAATTAATTATTTCTTCAAAGTTTATAGAGTTGCCATCTTAGCGAGACGAATAATGTAGTAGTCCTTAACCCCTACATCACTCCTCTTCCTAAAACAACAAAAGGTAATTGCTGCAAAGTCCCAGTATCGACTTCTTCCCTCGGAAAATAGGCCGGCTTGAGCCTATCAATCGAAACAGTAACCTGCTTTGTTCCAATCAGAATGGTGTACGTCTTCGGAAACTGTTGACCACTAAATATGGACCGTCATACGGCGCTTTAAGGGGTTTGTGAATGGTATCGTCCCGCAAAAACACATGGCTACAGAAGCGAAGATCCTTAGGGACGAAAACAGCAGACCTTCCATGTTGTGATGTTTGCGTTGGCCTTAATCGTTAAAAATGTTGTTTGATGTTCTGTAAAAAACTGTGCTCATCTGCTGGTGTTTCCTTTGGGCTTTCGAAGAATTCGCTGGGGAGTCGTATAGGCTGTCCATAAAGCATCTCGGCTATGGAAACCCCCAAGGTCCTCTTTGACAGCTGAACGTAGCCCTAGAAGAACGATTGGCAAAATGTCCACCCAATTAACGTCGGCCGTGTGACACCTCAACGCAGCTTTTAACACCCGATGCCATCTCTCTACTATGCCATTTGACTGTGGGTGATAGCTTGTAGTGTGGATGTGCTTGGCACCCAATAACTTTGCCAGCTCGCGGAAAAGGCTGCTTTCAAATTGTCTGCCCTGATCCGTAGTGATGAACTTGGGTACTCCGAATCTACTGATCCACCCGTTGAGTAGCTCCCTCGCAACCGTTTCAGACATCATGTCGGTGAGTGGGAAAACTTCAATCCACCTCGAGAACCTATCAACACAGGTCAGGCAGTACGTATAGCCTCGTGACACAGGGAACGGCCCAACAATGTCTACATTGACATGTTCGAAACGCCTACTCGGCACTGCAAAGGTCTCCAATGCACCCTTCGTATGTCGTGCAATTTTGCATCGCTGACATGCAGGACAACTGCGGACGCGTGCTCGTACGTCTGCACTTACCCCCTTCCATACGATACTACTTGTTATTAGCCTGGTCGTTGCTCTTGCTCCTGGGTGCGCGAGGCCGTGCGTGGCGTCGAAAACCACTTGGCGAAGAGTTTTTGGAACGTATGGTCTTATCTTCCCGGTCGAATCGTCGCAGAAGATTTCGATTCCTGTGCCTGGATGTTTGTATTTGACCAAATGTAAAGAAGTTTGACCATCATTGAGTAATTTTCTCAATTCCTCGCTCGCTTCTTGCTCGTCATGGAGTAGCTTCAAGTCTAATGGTGAAGGAGCTGCAAATGTCTCGATTCTCGACAGCATGTCCGCTACAAGGTTGTTTGCTCCGCTGATGTGTCGTATGTCCGTAGAAAACTGACTGATAAAATTCTATTGTCTTGTCTGTCGTGGGGATAACTTTTCCCAACTCTGCTCGAAGGCTTGAATCAGCGGCTTGTGATCCGTGAAGATGATAACTTGAGTCCCTTCCAAAAAATATCGGAAGTGCCGAATTGCCCTGTGTATCGCCAGCAGCTCGCGGTCGTACGTACTGTACCTACTTTCGGTTTCCGTGAACTTTTGGGGAAAAAACGCCTCTTTTGCGAGTCGTGTGTTGAGCTCTTCAAAAGCTTGTTCAGAGGCGGGTGACCACTTTAACTTCGTCCTGTCACGTTTTTTGCACGGACCCATCATCTCTGGAGCTGCGCTTCGACAGTTGCAGCATGTGGTAGAAATCGCCGATAAAAATTTACTGCGCCCAGAAACCGTCTGAGCTCGTGCACCTCCGTTGGCTTCTTCAAGTCGAGAATCCCCTGAACCTTGCGTGGTAAGGGTGCTATGCCTCTCCGCGATACCAAATGGCCCAAGAATTCTACCTCTGGTAAAGCGATCTGACACTTATCCATATTGATAACAAGGCCCCTCTCGCGATAGCGTTCGAAAAGCTATTGCAAATGCGTGACGTGTTCCTCCGGCGAAACTCGAGGCCACCAATACATCATCCAGATATGGAAAAGCAAATGATAACCCTGCGACCGTGTCGTCCATGACTCGCTGGAAGGTCTGGGCGGCGTTTCTAAGTCCAAACGTCATGTATTTGAACTCAAAGAGTCCAAACGGTGTCAAAATCGCGGTCTTCGGGACGTCCTTTGGATGCACCGGGATTTGGTGATATGCTTTTTTACAGTCAATGAAAAATCGTTCTGCCGTGTAAATCTCCAAAAAAATCTTGCATATGGCGTATAGGGTACTTATCCGGAATGGTTGTCGCGTTAAGCTTGCGGTAGTCCCCACATGGGCGCCAAGATCCGTTGGCTTTCTGCGCCATGTGCAACGGGCTAGACCACTGGCTTTTTGAGCGTTGACAAATACCTTTCTCCAACAGGTACTGAAACTCCTGTTTAGTTATTTTCAATTTCTCCGGTGAGAGTCGACGTACCTTCTGTACCACCGGGGCCCCTTTGGTTTCTATGAAACCTCAGTGAGGTCTACAAAGCGCGATAAAAGTTCGTGAAAAATGTTTGAACATTTTAACGTACTGATGTTTTGCGGAAGTTCCGTCATAAGGCAACCAATTTGTGAGTTAGTCGACCGATCGATAATCGCCTTATTTTTCATGTCCACGAGTATGTCAAATCGTTGGAGGAAATCCGCGCCAATAATCGGGTATGACACATCGGCGACGATGAACAGCCAAGTAAATTTTCGGTCGAATCCCAAATCTAACGTTATACTCCTCCTCCCATAAGTATCGATCTGAGTATTGTTGGCGGCGACCAACTTGATCGAAGAAGGTTGCACCTGATCATTGCGACGTCTGGGTACGACGGAAACCTCGGCCCCAGTATCAATTAAAAATTTTAACGATGAAGCTTTGTCGTGTATGTAGAGACGGCTGGAAAATGGATTAGCCTCCGTTGTAGCCGCTTTGAACGGAGGGCTAACTAGTTTTCCGAACGTGTTTGCGTAAAACGGCAAGGTGACCTGCATCCAGTGGCTCGATCACCGAAGGTACGGTGGTACCAACATATATAATCTCTAGCCAATTGTTCAGAACCCCCTCGTACAGTTGTAGTCGGCCGTAAGCGAGGAGCGCTGTTTCGCTCCACTTGTCTCATGCGTTGGAATCTATTACGGTTGTTTTGCTCGAGTCTGTCCAGCCTGTATTCAAGGTCAGCAATGGTGGCAACCTCCACGTTGCTGTTGTTAGACGCGTTTACCGCATTCACTACGTTGGTAGTAGTTACCTCCATTATGCTGTCGGCTCTTTTCACCAACACTTCTACATCCTCATCCAATGTCGTTAAGATTTGTTGCACCTGCAGAGGCAAACGCCGCAACCAAATTGACTTCAGTATACTCTTATCCAATCGATTATGTGCCAAATCTTTCATCTCCCGTAGTAACGTAGTCGGTTTCTTGTCATTTAATTCGCATGACTCAAAAAGTCGCTTAAGTCTTTTCTCTGTCGGCTCACCAAATTCAGCTAGTAGTCTCTCCTTTAACGCTTCGTACTTGCCTGTAGTTGAGGGAGATGCAATAATATCGCTGGCGTGCATTAAGATCGCCGAATCGATTTCGGCGACAACAGTGTAATACTTGGTATCGTCTGTCGTGATACCAGCGCGCGCAAATTGCGCTTCGACCTGAGCAAACCACAGACGTGGATCAGGTTTCCAAAACGGCGGCGGTTTAACAGCAAGGCGCCCCAAATGCAGCATGTTTTCAGCATCCATAAATCTGTCTTCTCCTTCGCTGACCATATTCATCGTCGGGGTCACCAGTTATAGAAGTCGTTTTCTATATTCTTAAATTTATTTAATATAATGAAAATGTCGAATTACAAATCAAAGATGTTGCACGAATGAATTAGAAAAATATATACCAGGAAATGTATGCAACAAGCAAAGGTATGTTTAATTAATTATTTCTTCAAAGTTTATAGAGTTGCCATCTTAGCGAGAGGAATAATGTAGTAGTCCTTAACCCCTACAGATGTATGATTTTTATAAATTAAAGAAGCAACTTTAAAAGAACTCCCCCAAAAGCCCTTCTGAAGTATGTCCTATAAAATCTCTTCTGGAAGGCCTTCCATGGGTAGCGAAAGAAGAAGCCCTTCAATTTTTGCCACTCCATACAAAAAAGAAAGGAATGTAGAGTGGAAGGCCTCTTGACTCTCAGGAAGGCCTTTCAGAAGGGCTTTTAACTCCTGAAATTATCTACTGGTTATTTAAGCAACCGTAACTTTTTATTCACTCGTTTAATCTTTCATCTCTATTTACTTAAAATTAGTATTTAGATAATAAATATTGGGTCATATAAATAAAAAGGCTCTGCGGATTTTCGTCACTATGTGGTTTTGATTCCCATACATATGTACACCTGACAACAAATCAAATTTCCAGAAGATAATTCAGGTTCAATCGAGAAAGAGCGACCAGAATTGGTCAACAGAAAAGGAGTTGTGTTCCATCATATTATTGCTAGGCCACACACATCTTTGATGACTCTGAACTAATTGACGGAACATGGTTGGGGAACTTTAATGCATCTCCCGTATAGCCTACACCTTGCACCGTCGCACTTCCATTTGTTTCGGTGTCTGCAAACCTCTCTGACTATAAAAAAAATTGCCAACCGATGAGCCGCCGAAAATCACTGGCCAAGTCTTTCGCCGATAAAACATAGAAATTCTACACCGATGGAAATATAAGGCTAACCGAAGAATGGCAAAACGTTATAGATAATAATGACCAAAATGTAAAATTGAGTTCCAATGAAGAAATTTTATTTCAAAAACTTTGTCAAAAATCCGCGGAGACTTTTCATATGACCCAATAAAATGTTTCATGCCAAAAGAAAGTGGTGGAGTACAGGCCGAGCGCATCGTCTTTTATATTACCTTATTAAAGTTGCCATTGTTTTTACCTATGTATTTTGCGATCGTTCCATTTTTCGTTACAATTTATTATTTATTATATTTTTTTGTATATAAAGAGCATGTGTGTTGTATGTGTATGTGTTTTGCCTTCGTTTATATTTTTTTTTAATCTGTTTCAATTAAATTTAATCAATATTAAATGAAATTACAATTAATAAAAATAAAGATAGGAAATACTAAAATTATACTTAGAAGTGGATGCCGTATTTGTAGTCCCTTGTTGATGTTTCTTCCCTTCCTTCACAACTCATCTTTAGTTTTGGATGCACGTTATGTTTTGCGATTTGTTATTGTTGTCATTAACATACATACATGTATAAATTGTTTTGAAAATGGATAGTTTCTTTATACAGCGGTTTTACATGTTTTATATTGTGTCCTTCTGATGTTCCGTTCTCTAAAATCGTCTTCTTTTATATCACTACGTTCAATGTTTTCAACAACCGCTAAACAAATGATAACCGCCTTAAATTGCTTGATATTGTTGCAGTTTGGATATGAGGGGAATTGGGATCAGTAGGATTTTGATTTCAGTTGATTTTCTTGCTTTCATTTTCGCTTTTTGTTTCTCTCTTTTATTCAAATTTTCATTAACTTTATGTTCAAATCAAAAATGTATTTTTTCTTTAATATATATTTATATATGTATGTGTATTTAGCGATTAGCATTCTTAAGCTGATTGGATAACCAATCGAGACCTTCATAGAGACCATCGCCGCTGGTTGCACACGTCGCCTGTATGTACCAATTACGGTTTCTGAGTGAGTGCAAACCGAGCTTGTCGGTGATTTCGGCCGCGTTCATTGCGTTTGGCAGATCCTAAAATAAAATATAAGTTTTTAGTATGCATTAGTAATCTTTACAAGTATTTAATGATTATGTATAACCACTTTAAATTGTCAATTTCATAAAATTTATTAGGTTTTAAGTAACCACAAAGTTATGACAATCTCTCACGAAAGAGAAAGCTTGAACTAATTAGAACCCATTAGAGCAAAACGTTCTAAATATATCGGAAATTGTTTTATTAAAATTTGTGTATATCAAATATATTGTGTTTAGAGGTTTCAATTTTTCAATACGGCGGATTACAAGCATCCCGACAAACTTTATGCAGTAATGAGTTAATAACGCCTGTTTTTCCTATTATTGGGATTATATTGAAGACGCATTCGTCTTTTTTCGATCGAAGAACTTTTGAAACGATTACCTAAAGGGTGAACACACCAAAACTGCGACACTTTGGGAAACTTATAACTCACCTAAAAAGGTTTCAATATTTTGAAACTCAAATGCCATGAGTAGACCATGACCTTAATTTCACGTAGGAGAAATTCCATTTGAATTTGATTTCTAGTTAAGTTAAAAATGGCAATCGAGTTAGAAATGAGATAAATTATTTTGCACGAGTTTATAAATAATCCGGCCTTAAGTGCGCGTAAACTTGCTAAAAATCTAAAATTGCACCATTCGGCAGATTGCAGGGTTTCGAATCTGTACAAGGAAGGTCTGGCAGTTACCAGAAAACCTGGAAGCGGGGGTGAGCATGGTCAAAGTGATAAAAACAGTGCTCGGAAGGTCCTCAGTGCGTTTTCGCGAGATCCGAAGATTTCGTCGCGTTCTGTTGCAAAATCTGTTTGTAAATCGCAGTCTTTCGTACAAAAGGTAAAGCGGAAAGCTTCATTGAGAAGTTTTAAAGCTCAAACAACTCCAGATCGAGACGCAAAGCAGAACGTTAAAGCTAAATCCCGCAGCCGGAAATTGTATGAATCCCAAATTACAAAATACAAATGCATTGCTATGGACGACGAAACCTACTGCTTTCAAAACTTCAAATATATTGCTGGTCAAGATTTTTATACTGCTGCAAGTCGTCAAGATGCCCCTGAAAGCTGTAAGCTGAAAACGAAGTCCAAATTTCCAAAAAAAATACATGGTTTGTCAAGGTATTTGTTCCTGTGGCCGTAAGAGCAGCCCTTATTTCACATCCGGGACAATGAACGCTCAAGTTAATCGGGATGAGTGCCTCAAAAAGCGTCTTTTGCCATTTATCAACAGACATGGTACTTGACCACTGTTCTGGCCGGACCTGGCAAGCTGCCACTATGACAAGGACACATTGCAGTGGTATAATGCAAACAACATCAATTTTATACCTCGCGCCTGCAATCCACCCAATAGCCCAGAGCTACGTCCTATTGAGGAATATTGGTCAATCGTGAAAGGGATATTGAAGAAGACGGGTGAAACAGTAAGAAATATCGAAGAATTCAAAACAAAGTGGTTGTGGGCGTCGCGTAAAGTCGATGATGCACTCGTGCAGAAGATGATGGCGCGTGTGCGACGAAACGTCCGATCACTTGTATATGTAGCAAATAATAACTAATATTTTAACATTTTAATTATATATAAACTTCAAAGTATTATACTACAAAAAAAAATATTTCAAAGTCTTCTTGTTTCTTTCTGGTAGTCATTTTTAAGTGTCGCAGTTTTGGTGTGTTCACCCTTTAGTCATAAATACTTTTAAAAAAGCTTCGATTTTGTCACCAGAAAAGTGTGTGAATCACAAGAGGGCGAGTTTCAGGGACCTGCTAATTCACTATTTGACTTTGAAGGAAAAAAGAGCAGCGGAAACTGAATATATAAATCTTTTAACTTTCCCATGGAATAACTTTTCTCAGAACCATTCCATTCGGCTCTGAAGAATTTTGGATAATTGCTTACGGAGTGAAAACCGCAACAGGCGATAAAATGTTTGGAAATATAAGTAAATTCATATTATTATCCTTGCCGTACTCATACGCTTTGTTGAGCGCGTTTTTTCCGTAATGAATTCAACAAAAACTAAGATTTGAAATAGGATGACGTTTTCAATATCAAACAGTATGTTATCGAGGTTGAATAGCTCAATATATGACAGCAACAGAAATGTAAATCATTCAGACACTAAAGGTGATTTTGAAGAAATTGTGGAAATAGCTGATCGCGCCTTATAGGTTTTTATTTAATTTTTAGCGCCGAGCTCTGAAAAGCAGATTGTGCGATTAATCAATTAATATGAGTTATAATAAATTTAATAATTGCGCAGTCCTATTGCAAAATGTGTTGAAACAAATATTTTTAAAAAGTATGCGTATTTTTAAAGAAAACTGTTTGTACATCACTATTATATAAGTGATTTTTGTTATTTATTATTACCCTCTGAAGGTATTATATTCGTTTTTGTTCTTAAAAACAATATTATAAAATGATCTCAATTTTAATATAAAAGATTTGTTAAATCGATTTCATGAATTTTATTTAAAAAAAAATGGCGATTCTTGGCGATTTTTTTTCAGAAATTGCGCTTTTTTTTAAACAATCTGGACACCCTGATCGTAATCGTCTTTGGGTTCCTATTCGTCTTAGTCCTAGCTTTCGTGTTCGCCTTTGTATTTATCATCGAATTTGTGTTCGCTAAAGTATTTGTCATCGCATTCGTCTTCGTATTTGTATTCGTCTTGGTCTTCGCTTTGGCTTCATGTTCGTTTTAGCCTTTGTCTTCGCATGTCCGAGTATTCGTCTTTGTCTTATTCTCAAGGTCTGATTATAACCACTTAACGTAACTTAGA